CATCCTGAGGAGCTCGATGGCGTGGGTGGTTAGCGCATTCGGCTGCGATCGTTGAAGTTAAGCAACTTTCGCAATGGTCGGTCATTGGATGGGTGACCAAAAAACTTCTTTATCGAGTTCCTCCGTGCTTCGGAAGGCACGTAAAGCTGCTGCATCTGCATTCGTTAGCACCCGCAAATCAGCACTGGGCCCGCGTGGTGGGTCATGGTCCAATCTCCCTATTCCATCCATACGGAAGGCCTGTGCCCCAGCAGTGGAGACATTATAGGCTGATGATGATGATGATGACATCTATACATATAAAACTCAAAGGTGACTGAGTGACTGACATAGTGATCTATCAACGCACAGCCCAAACCACTGGACGGATCGGGCTGAAATTTGGCATGCAGGTAGATGTTTTAAAAAGGATTTTGATCCATTCTACCCCCAAGGGGATAAAATAGGGAATGAAAATTTGTATGAAACTTTGTCAATTTTAAACCGATCGGGCTGAGACTTTGCATGCAGGTATAAGAAGAATCATAGATGAATGTCATTGTGTATAATACAAGCCTGAGAACAAAAACTGTAGTCTACACTTCAGCTCTACACCGAAGCGAAGCGAGGGCGGGCCGCTAGTTCTGTTATAAGTACCTTCCCTCTAAAATCATAGGTATTAGTATTTCTTCAAACCTACATTTTGAATCTGAATACGTCCTCGTAGAAGCGTGCACAGCATTCTTGTCACGTTACGAGTCACAACACCATGTGGTCAGTAGCCGTCTGAATTCAGACGGCGCGGCAGCAACCCGCATTAGGGCACGTACCACATACATTATACAAGACACTGTATCAACCATCCGTTGAAATCTTCACACTAATGCAGGCAGCAAATGTTACCACTGTATGAAATGATTTAAGTAAGTACAGTTTGCGAGTTTAATGTTTTTGGATTGGTTATCTACTATATAAAAATAAGTCGGGTTTTCCTTCCTGACGCTATAACTCCAGAACGCACGAACCGATTTCCACGGTTTTGCATTCGTTGGAAAGGTCTCGGGCTCCGTGAGGTTTATAGCAAAGAAAATTCAGAAAAAAAATCAAAAAAAAATCTTCTTTTAATCACCAAACGAAATGTTATATAAAACGAAGCCATCTGATGGCGAAACGGAGTTCGCCTGGTTTGCTAGTTTATTATATTTGTTTCTTAGGTTTTCACGCACATCACTCATTAAATAAAACTAGTTTTTACGGGTTAATGCACGGAACTTTATTTATTTATTGACGTTTCGCAGCCTTTACAGGCTTCGTCGTCAGAATAAAACTTTTATTTAATTTGTCGAGCTACCTTCGAAAGACTTTTATTGAGCGTTTGGTTATTTCATTGTTCGATTTTTAAGTTTTATGGTCTATGTATGAATTTATTATTTAATTTACTTATTAAAGTATTTTATTTCAAATTCTTTTTTGTAATTTTGAGTTTATTTATTTGACCCTAACTACCGTAAACTACCACCGGTTCCAAAATTGGGAGACCTTTCTGAGAAGAACCGGCGAAACAAACTCAAGAGAAGCCTGTAAAGGCTACGAAACGTCAATAAATAAATAAAGTTTCGTGCATTAACCCGTAAAACTAGTTTTATTTGGTTATTTATTGTTTATTAGCAACACTAACGTTGCGTTAATCATACATGGTAATACATATTTTTATATTGATTGTTTAATTGTAAACACAACAATTATAAGTGTTGACGTCATTCATAATTATGATCTAACAGATACAATTTTTAGGATTGAATTTTAACTTATAATATTACATATAAAATAAAATAAAATAAAATTAAATAAGATTGCAATTATTACATTTAACCGAACAATGCTCAATTAATAAATTAGAATTTAACATTTAAATAATAATACTAATAACACTACACAAAAAACAGTGTTTGTCACAGATTACACAACTTCCGTTTAAATGTTGACAAAGTATCACAAAATACATCAATACCATCATTGGTTAGACTGCTTCCGACTTATTCCGAAACGCGACCGAATAAGGCATTATCATCATCATCATCAGCCTATTAATGTCCCCACTGCTGGGGCACAGGCCTTCCCTATTAATGGAACAGGGAGGTTGGGCCATGACCCACCACGCGGGCCCAGTGCGGATTGGTGGGTGCTAACGACTGCAGATGCAGCCGGGACCAACGGCTTAACGTGCCTTCCGAAGCACGGAGGAGCTCGAGATAGTAATTTTTGGTCACCCATCCAATGACCGACCACTGCGAAAGTTGCTTAAGTTCATCGATCGCAGTCAAACGCGCTTACCACTTGCGCCATCGAGCTCCTCAAAAAAAGGCATGGTTTAATTGAACCTGATGATGTCACTGTCTTCTTTACAGCAAACCAAAGTAACAGCATCCGTTTTAAACCAGGTTTAATTGTATTCAACTTTTTAAGACGGTTTGAAGTTTGATTATTTTTTGTTTTTTCTGGTTTGTTTCCCTTACAGGGCTTATGTAACACTATGAGTAAATTAGACAATAGGGTAATATTAACCCGTTCATTATAGGGAGCTTAGCTCAGTTGAAAAAAAGAAATACCTAAACATGAAGAATATTTAGGATACATCGATAGTATTTTTTTTCTTTCGTAATAAAAAACAGTTTTTTAACACATTACTTAGAATAAACGACATTCCTTTATCAACTATCTCAGGTATAATTTAGGCACGCGGCCATTCGGAGACGGGTTTCGCGACCACACCCGCCCTCTCGGCACGCACTAGGGGGACCGCGGTCCTCATAGTGCGTACCGGGTGACTGTGCAGGAGTATTGCCTGGTTTTTAGTGGCCCTGTTCAGGGCGTAGGTAGGGCCCTGTTCACATCAGCGAGCTCCAAGGCTGGCTGAAGAGGACAGGGAGGAGTTCCACATATCTTCTTCTCGCTCCCCCAGTGGTTGAAGGATGCGTAAGGCATTTTCCAGACACAAAAAAAAAAACAAAAGTATAATGACGACGACCTCCGTGGCCGAGTGGTTTGTACGCCGGGTCTCATGGTGTCGCCGACTCGAGAGGTCCCGGGTTCGAATCCCGGTGGGGGCAGATGTTTGTGTGATGAATACGAGCATTTGTACTCCAGTCATGGATGTTTAGTATGTATTTCTATATAAATATACTTATATATGTAAAGTATATGTATTATATCCGTTACCCTAGCATCCCATAACACAAGCCTTACAGTGCTTACTTTGGGGCTAGGCTAATTGGTGAGTGTTGGAAATATTTATTTATTTATAATTTAGGCAAATATAGTTTTTTTTTTATATTAATGAAATAGAGAGGGCATGGCAGATTTCCCCTTTTAAATCAGAGTGCCTGTCTGAAGAATCAACCACCAGCTGCATAGTGAATAAACGCTACAATTTGGTGATCTTGTATTTTTGTTAGTAAGTGAAGCACCTCGGAGCCCTGTCCACGAGGTAGGGGATAAGGTAAGGTAGGGTACGCGCAAATGATACTTTATGGTATCGATAGAATCTATAGGCTATGGTGGCTGCTTACCTTCAGACAAAATTATTGTTTACCAACCTATTCAGATTAAAATCAATTACCTACAGAATTCAAAAGAAAAGCCTCCCTTAGTACGAGTTTGAACTCACGAAAACTATCATAGTTTTCGTAATTCTAAATTATATTACAATGTCCATTTTAGTGAAAAGTAACCAAATATACTTAAAATTTAAGAAGACGCAAATGATTTAATGATCGAATTTAAACACTGTTTATTTGTATTGAAACGAAAACAATAAAATCAGTACCCTTAGTACGAGTGCGAGCTTTCGGAAACTATCATAGTTTTCGTAATTGTAAAACTCGTACTAAGTGTACAGATCAAATGCCCAACATGGGAATGAGTAAATAATTGTACTTTTATATAGAACAACTAGCTGACCCAGCGAACTTCGTACCGCCTTAAAAAAATAGGGGTCGGTGGTAGAAAAGTGAAACTTTAGGGTTGTATGTATTTACTAATGCTGTATCATAAAAAAATATCTAAAATTGAAAAAAAAAATTAGGGTTGGATTACCCTTAACATTTAGGGGGATGAAAAATAGATGTTGTCCGATTCTCAGACCTACCCAATATGCACACAAAATTTCATAAAAATCGGTCAAGCCGTTTCCGAGGAGTTTAACCACAAACACCGCGACACGAGAATTTGATATATTAGATAATCGAAGCTGACACACATTTATCATTCAATAAAACGATAAAACGCCTTCACAGTCATTGTGATACCTACTAGCGTCCGTCATAATAAAAACTGAAGCAATATTGAAACCTAGAACGAGGCAAGTTTACAGCCCGCTAAACTATAAAACCGAGATGCGTCTCGCATACAATGTTATGGATATGTGAACTCGGAACGCATCCTCCAAATACCCGCACGCCCTCGAATAATATTGGCGAACGGCGACTTGACAGCGTTCCAAAAAATATTACGTTTGTTTTCGCCTCCAATATCCGACAAACACCCGCTCCGAACTCGAAGGTAGAGAGGTGAGAGCGTGCATAAATGCCATCGTCTTATAAAATAAAAATTCAGTTTTCTCTTTGGCCCCATATCACCTAGGTACGTACTCGCAATAAACTCTCGAGTATAAATAACGCGCGAGTAAAAACAATCGTGGGAACCCGTTGAGTGACAACGCGACGTAAATAACAGTTATCAGCGAGCGAGCACGTGAGGCGAGCGCGGGCCGGCTAGTGGACAAGATGATTTATTTAAAGTAGCGAAGAGAGATCCCTTATCTGCCACCTCGCGTTATCTTATTGCGTGTTTCCTAAATAATTAATGCAATATAGGGCATCGATTGTGAGGTGACGGGAGCGCGCGGGGCGGGAGAGGCGTGCGGGGGTGCGCGCGGCGCACGCACCCGATTGGCTGTCAAGCCTGCGTGAGTGCGTACCTCCCCCGCGTGCGTGCCTCCACGGCTCGCTTCTCAGTCGTCGTCCGACTCTCGCACGGGTGAGACGTGTCGCACAGCGCCGCAAGTGACGTACGAAAGCCGCGACCGCGCCGCGCCGTCAGCTCCCTCCCCCTAATTACGAGTTGTGTTTAATTTAAAAACTGGGACTAATTCATCTGTCCATATGGTTCATCTCGTAGATATTTTGCGTTCAGCGAAAGTTGACTATCCGCCGCCTGTTATTGTAAGTAAACAAACAGGTTTTTTTTTTATATATTGTTATTATTAAAAGAGTTTAGTGGATGAAGCGCATTTGCACCTTTATTTTTGTTTTGAATTTTTATTTATTTGATTTTATTTGTTTTCAGGTTGAGGTACGGCGAGTTTTGTTTGTTAGCAAATTGTTCTTAAGTTATGGGTGAATAGTTTATATTGACGACGTTGTTCTCAAAAAAAATGTGTTTAAAATAAAAAATAAAGAATAATTTTTAATAATTTCTAAAGTTTAAGTAATAGGTTGTTAATTAGACTTTTGAATAAAGTTATTCTAATATTTCTCGATCTTATACTTAAAAATAGATATTGTCGTTTGCGACAATTGACATCTAATAGCTTGTAATTTACTTTTCCTGTTATTGTTAATAAACTAATTTATGGTTTCCTTTTTGTTTCATTGAATCGTTTATTATTTTGTTTATTTCGATTAACTTACTTTAGAAAAAAATCATAATTTTTATATCGGCAAAACAGTTAGGTGTATTTTGGCATTTAAGGCAAAAATATAACATATTTATAATAATATACAATAATTACGGCACCTGCACTTATTATGTGTATGTATACTTAATTCACGTCCAAAATAATAACGACCGACATCAAATTATTTTACTTTAAATCATTTTAATGTTAAGTGTAGTACACTCAATAGCGTATTCTTCAAAACAAAATCTTTATACAGTCACATTGAAACAAATGAAATGCAGAACATTTTTAAAAACACTGCCAATGCAAACGGAAGGTATGCAAAAACTTTGTACTATAAATTGCGAATCACGATGACGTCACAAAAATTAGTTGGTACTCGACTCCGTATACATTAAAAAGCGTTGCATATCTGTTATGAAAGGGAGAACCTGAATTCTTACTGCCACGAGTCACCGTGACGAGGCTGTTTTAATCATAAACTTGGCAAAACAAATTTCATTTTACTACGAACCTTTATAGGTTATTCAGTAATTTAGCGTTATATTTGATTTTGAGTGAATGAATGAAATACAAACTCAGTCACACACTCATTTAAAAAAAAACTTTATCGACAATGGTGTCGATTCTGGCGTGATTCTCTGAACTTAAAACTAAATTTAACATCAGTCTCTCCTTTTCATTCTGTATATAGAGAGAGACAAGGATACACTGTTGTCAGATTTAAGTTTAGATTTAGAGAATCATGCCAGAATCGACATTACTATTGTATTTAAAATAATTAGTTTCAACGCTATAGATTCACTGATTTATTTATTTATAGACGATTTGCATCCTTTTCAGGATGCGTCGTCTAAATTACGTGATAATCATAATAGATATAGATCTATTTTATTTAATGAGTGGTGTGCGTGAAAACTTAAGAAACAAATAATTTTGTATTTTCTTATTTAGTTTAAGGATAACCCTCGCGATCTGGGTGCTTCTTGCGAACTTTGAACCCTTCGTTATACCCCTTTAAGGCGTGAGTTTTGAAAAATCCTTTCTTACCGCAAGCCTATGTCACAATAGCTATATTTGTACCAAGTTTCAGCACAATCCGTTCAGTGGTAGAAGTTGTTCGTTGATAGATCTGTCAGTCAGTAACGCTTGCCTTTCATATAGACAGACAAAGTATTGTTTTTTTGTGTTAGTAAACCACAACCAAATAAAATCCAGTTGTAACTTTAAAAGTTTTATGAAAAAAATCTAATTTTTTTGCACCTGTTTTGGCAACTGTTTAGTATCGTTCAATAGACGTTTATTTAGTAAATATAATTTAAATTAGGGCTGACTAATTTGCTAGGCGTAAGTGATTATTATAAAAATTGACACTTCGTTGTTTTAAATAAACAATAAACTCAATAATCACAGCAGAAAAAAGCATTACGTACATTTAAATTAATGAGAAAAAAGTCTGCGTACTTTTAGCTACTTAAATTTAAACGCTTACATATGTATACTTGTACGCTAAGATCATATTTTTTAAAGTTAAATAAAATAATTTTCTGAAGCTTTCGATTCATCATCAGCCTATTAATCTCCCCACTGCTGGGGCACAGGCCTTCCCAATGGATGGGTTAGGGAGATTGGGCCATGACCCACCACGCGGGCCCAGTGCGGATTGGCGGGTGCAGATGCAGCCGGGACCAACGGCTTAACGTGCCTTCCGAAGCACGGATGAGCTCGAGATAGTAAATTTTTGGTCACCCATCCAATGACCGATCACTGCGAAAGCTTTCGATTATTGTCAATGAATGTTGTCTACTGGCCTAGAAGTGAAATAAAAACCAATGTGATAATAATTGCCAATTGAGTCGCGCAGTTAGTGAAGCCTTTAAAAGGTTAGACCAAGGTGTGAGATAGACATATTAACTAATTAAGGTGTTAGTTACATCAACTTTGAACCTACTAATGTGGTACTTAAAGTGTCTGTGGTACCTCGTGTTATGTGACCTTCTTTTATATGATTGACATCTGCATTGTAAGTTCAAGCATTCGATCCTATACTAATATTGAGATTTCAAATAATACGAGACAGTCCACCATATTCGTGGAAGTTCAAGCCTAATCTGTTTGCAGAAATAGTGAACTCATAGCCGAATACATGACTGTCTCAAACTATGTTGTACATATTAAATTAGACTATTAATTACGATGTCCCTATAACCTACGTACATGAATTCGAATCCTCACGCGGGCATTTGTGTACAGTTATGGAATCAAAATATACTTAATCTAATCCGTCAATAAAGCTTTAATACCTCAAACTTGGATTTTGAATTTGTCAGAAAATACACCTTACAAATTAACTTTTCAAAACGAAATCTGGAATTTGTCAGTATTATCAATATGTGTATTACTAGAAGTTATTAAAGAGATTATTACCATGTACCTTGCTTTTATTAGGTTTCCGATATTTCGACACTGTTGCACCGACACGGAGTAACTGGTATCGAACGCAATAAAAGACTTCGTCGTTGCGTAGAGCGTAGACCACTATGTCTGACAATAACAGCCTACCCGCAATTACTTCAGTTACTGCGTGATCATGGCGCTTGCAACAGTGCCGAAGTATCTTAAACTCGTTAAAAACAAGGTGCATGGTAACAATCCCGTAAATAACATAAATTAATATAATGTTAGTGACGATGAAGTTTAAAACAATATATGTGTAAATAACGCTTAAACACCCGATCAAATAAAGCTCCAATACTCCTTATTCAATCGAATCAAAACAGAAATTAGAAATCAATATATCTTTATTCAAATTGGATGTATAGTACAACACTTTTGAATCGTCCAAACATTTTTTTTCCCTACCACTCGTTATTAGACATATTTTTTAGTTGCGGAGAAAAACGAGCGAAAAAAACTCCACAACATTAAAAGCATAATGTAACAACATTTACAAATCATTATGTTGTTACAACGTCAATACAATCATGATTTATTTAATATGGAAAACCTGTTGGAAAGATTGGAACAGTTCAAACCCAAGCATTTTTGTCTGTAATATAATCAGACACTTTGTAATAAGCTTTTTTAATAAGTAATTTTTTTATACTAACTTTGAATTTATTTTTGCTTAACTTAATATCCAATTGCTTGGGACTTTATTGTATAAGCGAACACAAAGACCTTTAAATGAATTATTGACTATTGGCTGATGTTCAAATATTTATAAAGTCAAAGTTTTCTTTTTTAAATAAGTGACGATCTAACTCAACTTTGTAGACCGGACGTATTATGGAGGACAACAAAACACAAGATTGCACCTTACAAATCTACTTGTCAAGTAGGAAATTGGAGTGTGCCAGTTTGTTTCGGTGGCCAACGGAGCAAAGTTTCGCACGCCGAGTCGCGGGTGTCCCTTCTACGCCATTAACTCACAGCGTTGGCCGCGTCCCGAGGCCCTTCATTTTTTTCCAACTTTTGGGTTAATGGGTTTGAAGACAGCCAGATACACCGCTTCAAAGATACCGGAATTGAGGTCGTTATAAAATAAAGGTTTCACCTTTTGAAATAGGAACTCATTGGAATGTTATTATCGGGAGACTTTGCTACAGAAGAATTACATATACCCCTTTTAGCATCGGAATCAAGGGTGTCTGAGATGCTGGGAAAATCTCACGCACATATCTATACGACATGTAAATCGAAGTTGGAATTCTAGAGATCAAAATTGGTGGGCAGAAGCAAAACAGGGTGTTCGTTCGGCTACTATATACTTCTTTATTTTATAGTATTGTTTACTTGAGATCTTTTGTGAATTTTTATTTTTAATAGTCTTGTTTACTTGAGATCTTTTGGGTATCTATCAATATATCAAAATTGGTGGCCAGAAGCAAAACAGGGTGTTCGTTCTACTACTATAAACCTAATAGTACTATATTATTGCAGAAGCCTCCATATTAGATATATGAACAACCTTACCTCAGGTAAGCGTTCCAATTTGAGCGTAGGAATGCCGCTATACAATATCCCTCTTGAGAAATACAAAAAAGGCCCAAAGTCCCGAGAGATACTAAACTGCCTCAGGCAAATCTATAAGACCACGCAACGCAACTATTCGAAAGAAAATTCTGTTCCTTTCCCTTATCTTAAAATAACACCAGTCAATCTTAAAGTGTTAAGCTTTACTACGATATTATAAAAGTTCTAAACTTTGTTAAAAGGTATTGAAACTATAATTTTATCATTTACACAGATTTTAATTTATTTAAATCTTTTTATAAGGTTTAGGCACTCAGTCTTCTAAAACTTTATAATTACCAAAATTACTAAGTCTGTCGCTTAGTTTTAATTATTTTTTTAATTGGTAAACATTAAACAGTTTCCCCATTCTTTCACCATTGATAAATTTATTTTTATCCCACGAACCTTATTAGATAATTATGACTTCAATACTATAAATTATTATTTTCTATAGTGCTTTTAGATTTTGAAATACATAAGGACCCGCCAGAAGTAATCATGTCTGAGGGCAATCGTTAATAACCG